TTTAGAGTTTGTTTTAACATAATTCGTAGCCTATATAATCTTCCAGACTATGTTCTGTCTTTATGTATGGCAAATTTGATCGTGATCCGTTGAACCGTTTCGGAGATATTATCAAACAAACATACATACACCAATTCACCTAATCATTCACATCTTACTAATATTATAAATGTCAATGTTTAGATGGATGGATAGATGGATATTTGCGATAGATGTTAAGAATAGTCTGGAAGAACACATAGGCTACTTATTAAATTTGTTTTTAATTCTGCGCGGACGGAGTCGGGGATATCAGATAGTATATAATATTAGTAAAATTAAAAAGTAAAGTCTGAGTTGATATATTAACACGGCTATACACTCACGTATATTCGTCCGGTGGCGGCACCGACTAGTTTCAAACCCATCAGGGGCCCTTCATTAGGATGAGTCCGGCGTCGTCGACGATGTTGATATCTAAGCGTAGGTGATGTTGTTGTTCAAGTCTGAGTATTTTTCTACTTTTGAAACAAAAACACACACACATTAAAATTTATTTTATAATCTAGTTATGTAAATATACTCTTAAATATCTACATGGTGAATTTATATACTCGTAGTGGACCCCATTAAGAGTATCATATAATTGATAGGCACTTTAACGCGCCACCCCAAGGGTACAATCTACTCTGCATACGATAGGTATGGACGTAAATATTTTAAGAGGGTTTTGATGAAACCATTTACTTTACTTATCGATATCCTTTTAAACCCTCCTATGTGTTTATGGTCAAATCTACTTACATATTCAAGATCCAATCACGGGAGGGATACCCTAAAAAGTTCCTTGAAATAATAAAATATTTAAAGTGCTACAAATGCGAAGTAACGTAGTCGAAGGTGTTGAATTTGCACTTTATTATAAGTAGTCGCCCGCGACTCGGTTCTCGCGGAATTATAAAAAATAATTACAATTTGGTATCGTATGTAATCTTCCAGACTATTTTGTACATACTTTTAGATAGTATTATATAGAAGAATAGTGAAGGGACATAAACGTCGACATTTTAGTAAGGTTAGCGGCAATACACTGGCACATTTTCGAAATTTTCTTCCTATCAATATGTGTAAAATTTAATCGAGATCCGTTAAGCCCTTCTATAGATAACTTCTAATAAACATCAATCCATCCATACATCCAAACATTCGCATTAATAATGTTCGTCAGACTATACTTATAAATTAATTGTCCTTTAGATCTGAACAAGTTCAAAAAATATTATTATTTATTCTATAAACTCTAAATTTTCTTCTTAACCTATGTTTTTAAATATTAAAATGAAGTTCATTGACTTCCTATAGACACATCAATCAACTGGAAACATAAAACCGCAACACCAAAGATCTCTATGTATCGTAAATATTATTTACTCTTTCAACGTTTTGCAAATTTAAACTTTAATACGTTACACCAAGGTTTATTTTCCATTCTATATCGATGACAGTAACGTTGCAAATATAGCGTTAGCTTTCTTTAGATTGAACAAGATTAATTCGCCCTACTCATCATAATTTATAGCTTCGAGTATCATTTTATTTTGTATATTCAAAATTATGGTGATGAGAATGACTGGCAGGAAATAAAATACAAATTGCTATTTTTGTTTTACGTAACAATATACCAAGATACTTTTAGTATGAAACTCATTATTATTTGTGACTAGCTGTATCCATCCATCTAAACATTCGCATTTATAATATTGGTAAGATCAAAGAAATTGAAACACTGAGCTTATAGAGCGGACATTCGCAACATTTCTCTAGTAATAATACCTTAAAAAGTTTGCCGTTTAAAAAATATACACGAAATTAAAAAATACAACTCTATCTTACTAATACTATTAATGCAAAAGTTTAGATGGATAGATGAAATGTTTGTTAGAAGGATCACCGGAACAGCTCAACGGATTTAGCTGAAATTTAGCATAGATATAGTCTGGAGGAACATCATCATCATCAGCTCATTATATGTCCCCACCGAGGGGCTCGGAGCCTACCCGAACATACAGGCCACTTATTACGTTCTTTTTAAATCCGTGCGAACAGAGTTACGGGCGAAAACTAGTTAAAAATAATTTAGCTTGTCATCAAATCAAAATTAATACGACCTTCATCATCCCCAAACAAATCGGATCAATTTAAATCGCTACCTCCTTCTAGACTGTGGCACGGAGATAATAAAATTAAATCAACCCTAGCTCCGGAGCCGTGTAATTAATTTGATACCTCCACTTTGTTCCTGTTTGTCATCGAATTCGATTAAGATTATCAAAATTATTGGCATACACGACAAAATCAGCCTTCCTTATTTGATCTGACAAACTTTTTTTATAATAAATATAACTTTATAGAATCAAAAACAATTGAATCCTCGTTCTATTTTCAACTTTATAATTGGATATTTTAGATTGTTGCTAAAATTATGCTTACAATGAAGGCAATGTTTTTAGTTTTGTCATGTTTATGTAGTCCTTAAAAATATTACGTTTTATAATTATCAGAAGCAGCGCATCCTACCCGGGTCAAGGCAGTTGTCTTCATTTGGATCTACTTCGGTCTTTTATAATGTAAACCGAAACGTATATCAAACTAAATTATGATAGCTCACTAGCGCCCTCCTGTCTTTATAATAAGTGTCGTAAGATTCTTTTCATACTGTAGCTGTGATGTCATATTTTTTCTCATATCGTTTTCTATGCTCTAGGTTTTACATATTTTCTGACAGCTATTGGGCTTCTCGCCTTGTGCCAGATATCCTTGTTTGACTATACAGCACTAAAGGAATATCTAGACCCTTTTTTAGTATTTACAGGAGGGCGCTAGTGAGAAGAGAAGATAAATTTAGTTTAATTTATACTACCGGGTGTGATGTTCTTCGACCTATAGTTTTCTTAACATATTAATTTCTTCTTTTCTGGCAAGACCAATCGCCATAGCAGCGTTCTTTATCAGCACTGATAAGGTTTTCATTATAAAAAAAAGAATTCAAGTATAATTGATATATAGTTTCAGCTAATATTACAACATTTTCCGCTAAGAAATGACAATATTGCATCATTCGTGATATTGCAAGACATCATAAAATTTTATTCCCAGATCTAGTGAAGGAATGACTTAATTTAGTGGAAAGTTCTTTTGCTCGAGTGGTATTTTATTGCGTCGTAAAATTGAATTTTCTTTCTTTTCAACTGCTTTAAAAGCAATATACTTTCATTTGTGAAAAAAAACATTGTTCGCGAGATTTAGTCGTAAGAAACTTTAGCTCTAAAGAAAGTTATTGAAAAAACAATTCGTAAATATTGATTTTTGTCAGTATCTTAAAAGCCTAAAGCTCACACAAAACTAATGCTAAATTAAACAACCGATGTACCTTCTCAAATAAGGAAATATAGAATGTTATGGTTTTTTTTTCTTTTTAAATCCCCATAATAATTCGTTCAAATTGTCAGTCGTGTACTAAAGAATGTACCAATTATTTTTTTACATAACTCCCTTGAGTCGGAAAATACACTAGATCGTCCAATAAACGTCCGAATTATATTTGCCAATCTAATTTGTCCGTCCGTCTGACGTAAATAAATCCAGCGCGGGTCACATGGGGAATTTTTATTGTTTGATTTACGCATCAAAACGTACCAGACCTTACAATATAGGTCAAATATATTACTAGTAATTGTATAAAAAAACCTTGTATCAAAAAAACATTTACTCAGAGTTTAAATCTATTTACCGTGGTGTTCCGAAACCAAAAATTCTGTTTAAAGTATGTTTTTATCTCGTGGTTTGTTTAAGATAACCCATGGATGACGATAAGTTTTATACAGATATTTTGGTTTCAGAAACCAGCGCTTAATATTAGAAGTCTACGATATTCTTGACATATATTAAACTTATAATAAAGGTCTTCTTAAGTAAGAAAATACATACATAAATTAGAATTAAAAGGTGCACCATCAAGATGATTTAAGTCATAAATTTTATTTTTAAAACTAAATTTCATTAGCAGGTGTCGAGCGTCGTAAAACTGATTTTATTACTTGCTCTAAACGAGGATAACTAATCGAATGGAAAAGTTATTAAACAGATAGTCATCTTTATTACGCAATCTACCAGAATCCTTTGACGTGGGCTATCAAAACCGTACATTCCCAAGAACAGCATAAACAGGATCTTTTTAGCTAAGGCATTGGTTTGAAATGAACCATTTTAACGTTGAAGTACTATACTGAGTTTTCATACTTCTACGTTTTTTCTTCATTTAAGGCCCTTTGCAAACAAGGTAACGTAAATTTATGAATTCCAACGATTTTAGTCGCTAAACAACATACGTAATACAATGTCACAAATGTTCGTATAGAGCGCGCGTCGTCGACTTTTCTGTCATTGTCAAAGACAGGCACACAACCTTGCACACAACAAGTCTAGCAACATCTTAAATATCTTACTTCTTACTAATCTTACTATAATGTTTAGATAGATGGATGTTTGTTTGAAGGTATCTTCGAAACGGCCCCACGGATTTTGATGAAATTTGGCACCCATGTAGCCCATAGTCTGGAAAAACACATAGGCTACATATTAGGTTTTTTAATTCCGCGCGGAAGGAGTTGCAGATGATATTTAGTATCTAAATATAGGGATCTAGATCTTTGTTAGTCCCCTCAGTGATTTTCAGCGTATCTTGTGAACTATTAAAACATAAAACTTAAAAACAATTATTTAGAGCCGTATTTCCAGGGTCGTAGGTGTCGCAGTGTTTAAAAGATGTTCACTGGCCGTTAAGAAAGTAAGGAAACATGTCCAAAGGAAATTGATTGTTATCTCGCTTCTTTTCAAACGATTTTACGCTTAAACTTTTAAGACACGACTGAAAAGGATTTCTCTAAGGTATTACACGTTTAAAATGAAAGCTTATATACGAAACTAAAAAAAACCTTAATTACAGCAAGTAATTTTATTTACAAATACATTGTTTACATTCTTCCTAATAAGTTAAATGTCAAAACAAAAATCACAAAGGTAAATAGCAGAATATATCTACGTACAAAACTTGTTATTATTATATTAAAAAGTCTAACCACATATTAACAAGCCTTTAAAAAAATTACTACTAGGACCCCATAGGCCTAGCCTAGATTATCAGCTGGCGAGGCCCTTGGTATTAATCATTTTACTTTCTGTCCAGCAATAGCAATTTGTATTTCATTGAATGTCTTCCCCTTTGTTTCTGGTATGCAGTAAAAAGTGAACAAACAACTCAATGCGCATACAACTGCGAAACACCAATAAGTCATTGCTGGACCGACCGCAGTTGTTAACGCAACCAGATATTTGGAACTAATGAAAATGCCCAAAGCAGCAAACATTATACTGATTCCAGCGCCAAGTGCTCTCGCCGGACCATCAAATAACTCGGCTACTAATATCCATAGTAATGTTCCTATACCTGAAATAAATTACATTTTAATGTATAAGTAATCATATACCAACCCGCACTTGCCCAGCGTTGTTGACTATCGCCTAGTCACCCCAAACTTAGGGTAGGCTCCGAGCCCCTCGGTGGGGACGTATAGTGAGCTGATGATGATATAAGTAAACTAGTTATCGCTCGCGCTTACGTCCGCACAGAGTTGAAAAAAAATATATTAATAAGTAGCCTATGTGTTCTTCTAGACTATGTTCTATACGTATGTCAAATTTCATTGAGATCCAAGAAATTCAAACAAACATCCATCCATCTAAACATTCGCATTTATAATATTATTAAGAAGTCAGATAAGTTAGTAAAAATGTTATCTAGTTTAGACTGTGGAAAATTCTCGAATTAGTCGATTAAAGATTTAGTTTCAAAATTTTATATCAATTTGCCTTTAAAATTAATTATTTATTACTCTTTGCCATCATCCATTCATCCAAAATATCATTTTAAGCGCAATATTTCTTTGATTATTTTATTCGAATAGAGATTAAATTTATTCTTACCAGCGCTATAGCAAAAAATTACCAAAAACAATGATATCAAAGGTAAATAATTCATAAAACCAGAAATTTCATTCCCGTTCTCTTTCACTTTAAAAAATGCACCCAAACCAACCTAAAAAACATAAAAAATCATAAAAAATAATGTAATTATTTTATTTTAAATTCACCAAAACCCAAACTCTTACCATTCCTATAAGAATACCAGAGAATGATATAATTAAAATGTGTCTTCTTTTAAACCAATGAGTCGCTGGAGTAGAACAAAAGCTAGCGAACAGCTGTATCAAACTCATTATCACTGAAGCCACTTCTGGCATTACATTAGTCTTTGTAGATTCTAAAATCGTTTGCAAATAAAACGACACAGCCGTGAATCCAACTATTTGAGTTGAAAAAGCAAACACCACAGATATAAAAAGCGATTTTATGAATACTGGATTCTTTATTAATTTCACTTTATTAACTTTTTCATTATTCATAGACGACGCGTACGTAATTATCTCTTCTTTAGCCACTTGTTCCGAGACGTGAATTAATTTTAATACTTTAATTGCTTCGTCTGTTTTTCCTGAAATCAGTCCAAAATGTTCAAAATTATTATTATAATCTTACTAATATTATAAATGTCAATGTTTGGATGGATGTTTGTTTGTTTTAAGGTATCTCAGGAACGGCTGAACGGATCTGGCTGTAATTTGGCATAGACGTAGAACATAGTCTGGAAGAACACATAGGCTACTTATCAAGTTTTTTTTTTAATTCCACACGAATGGAGTCGCGGGGGACAACCAGTCTTCTATACCTAGTATAATATTTTAAAATAAAGTTTAATTTACTGGTTTTTTTACATTTCTGGTCCATAATGGATAGTTTGGATCAAGAATAATCAATTAAATCACTTTCTATTATTATTTTTTTAATAAAATTCTGGTAATCTTAATAAAATCTCACCTTTAGAAAACAAGAAATATGGACTATCTGGTAGAAATAATATCGGAATACTAGTAATCAGGTTCATCACAGCAAATAATATACTAAATGTGGTATACGACACGAAAGGACCAATCGACATCGTCAGGATACAGCCTATTGACGAAAATACTTGGAGAAATGTGCAGAGAGCTCCACGTAGGTGTTTCTGTAAATGAAGGAATATTATTAATTGAAATAAAATACACTGATAAAGAAAATGCTTTAAAAATTCTAAGAAATGAGCAAACATGAAAAAAAACAAAATCAACTACAAATCTTACTAATATTATAAATGCTAATGCAAGAACGGTAAAACGGATCTCGATGATATTTGGTATACATACAGCACATTGTTTGGAAGAATACATTGACTACTGCGTTATTTTTTAATTCCGCGCGGACGGAGTCGCGGGCGACTGCTAGTAATCAATATTGTAAGATGGATTACGATGTCCAGATCACTGGTCTTTGGAGAATACGTTCGTAATATTTAGAAGACACCGTGAATGATTCAATGTTGGATAATTATACAAATAGAAAAATTGCAGATTGATATCTTCAAAAAAGTAAGCAATAACTCTAGTTTTGCGATGACAAATCTTACTTAAATTATTAATGCGAACATAGAGGCTACTTGTTCAGTTCTTTTTTTAGAATTTCACGTGAACGGAGTGGCGGTTAGTTAGTATTTTTATAAATATACACTCACATCAGCGATTTCTGATGCATAAACAGGAACAATTGCGAGCAAGAAGTAATCCGCAATACCAATGATGGCGCGCCCCAAAATCAATACCCATACATCCTTAACGAAGATAAAAAGAATACTCATTAACAACTTCGGAATACAGGTCAGTATCACACAATACTTTCTGCCAATATAGTCTTGTAACATACCTAGAAGACTGAGTGCTGAAACAAGAATCTTACTTAGTACTTCTTACTAATATTATAAATTCGAATTGATGGATGGTTGGATGTTTGTCGGAAGGTATCTCCAGAACGGTTAAACGGATCTCGATGAAATTTGGCATACATGTAGAACAGACGGATTCACGAGCGACAATTAGATTAAAAAAAAAAACTTTTAATCATAGCAATCGCTTTCAACTCCATTTTTACAATTGGCGTGCCTCTTACAAGTTGATGAAGTGAGAGTTCAATGAAGGACTTTCAGAACAATAGCTTTGAAATCACTCGTTTAAGAACATTGAATTGCATACATCATTGCAGATCGGTAGACATACGAAAGCGATTTGCCTTTATTGACAGGAGACTGATTATTCTGTCCGTAACCAATGAATGCAGGCAACACACAATAGGTTTTGAATTACGGTTTTAACGTTACAATTATAAACCACAAGCATGGCCTAGTTTTATCCTTATTTCCTTACTTTTTGTTTAATGTTATAAATACTAAAGTAACTCTGTCTATCGCGATTTCGCGCCAAAAATACTGAACCAATTTAAATGAAATTTAGTACACAGATAGCCTGAGAAAGTACATAACCTAATTTTTAATGCGAATAACTAATTTTAAGGAGGACGCGTATGGAATCGCGGGCGACAGCTAGTTATCACACACGGTAGGATTTTATTTTTTGCATGCAAGGTCAAAAGAGTCATACAAAATCATATATGGCATTCGTTCATCAGAGTACATTTATTGATCAAGAAAAACTTACTGAATATATTGCATAGTGATGCGATTGAAACTATCCATGAACCCTCCTCGTCGGTGATTGGTCGATGTAACGGCGTCTCTGTTGCGTTCCGAAGTTTGACAAGCACTGGCGATGACCATGACAGACTCATGCCAGTTGTTATTATGGTCAAATTCACTGCAAAGCAAAATATTTTTTTATAAAGCACTCGCTTTTATTATATAATTCAGAATTAGCATGAACTAACTAGAGGAAATCCGACTGTGGCAGTGTATTCACGCAACACTAGCCTTACTAAAATGTCGTTTATGTCCCCTCACTATTCATTCCAATTGTTTGACTGACACTGGCCTTTGTAACGAAAGCACGTCATTCGCGTCAAGTGATTCTCAACTAAATGTCTAAAACTAAAAAGCAACATTTTTACCAATTTGAATAGTAATTTTTAAATCAAGAATCCGGAAATTGTTAATCAGCCTATCATGAAAACTGCGAACTTATTCGTAACGTTTCGTAAATTTTCTTGCTAGGCCCCCAAGTTTTGATTCCAATGTTAAATATTATAAAGCTCTATACTTACCTACACCTATTATAACAAACTGTCGAAATCGAGGTGATTGAAACATTTTACTCTAGATTTTTTTACGATATCTTTGTTCTTTAAAAAACTTCTAATATATGTACGTAATTAAAATACAACCACTTTTTCTTAGTTCTCTTTACAACTGGATAACCATTCGCATTATACTTATGCACATTATCTTTGTTTGATTAAACTTTTATAATACGTTTAAGGTGTTTATTTGCAGCTTAAATATGTATAGCATCGTATCAGCGGTTGTATTCTTATATTACGAGGATAGAATAATGTCAGACATAATTTCATGTGATTATTTTAATTATTTTACTAATGTTTAGATGTATGTTTGTAAAAAGGTATCTCCAGAACGGCAGAACGGATTTCAATGAAATTTGGCATACATATATAACATATAAGAGCGTACACCGTCCTTAAAGGTCGGCAACGCATCTGCGGTTCCTCGGATCAAATAATTTTACGCGATTCGTTGTTCGTTTGCCCCCTTCTCCTATAAAAAAACATGGTCTGGAAGAACACATAATCTACAAATATGTTTTGTTTTTAATTCCGAGCGGACGGAGACGCGGACGACAGCTAGTATTTAAATAAAATGAATAACGAGAAACCTAACTACGAACAATGAATGTTAACCAAAATCGGCTAAGCCGTTTAAGTTTTATTTGCCGTTTTGAAATTATCTTTACTGATAAGTTTCCACTGTCGTAACTTCGTATAAACATGTTGCCTCTTCAAAGAGAGGGAGATAATTTTAAACACAGTGTAACTACAGCATTAACCAAAAATCACATAATCACGACAAAGATTGTGTGTTGTTTAAACATATTTATCTGAGATAACTATATCTCAGGGCAATGCACGTAATCACTTATCTATTTTAAGATAATCTAAATAAAATCCTAATAAGAGATAATTTAAGAACAAGTTTTGTTTACTTTAACAATATATGTATTAAGATTTACGATAACAATCCAACCACCTTGGAGGCGTTGCAAGTCTAATTCGAGTTAATTCTCCAACATCGTTGCAACTGTGTTATAACATATTGCGATGATATTCGTCAAATTCGGATTAGTCGTTTACGCCAGTGGTTCCCAAACTTATTTTGTCTACTGCTCACTTTGAGTATAAATATTTTTAGCGCCATATTTTCACATATTTAAAAACCACTATAACTTCAAATTAAATTAATTAATTATTGTGACGTATATATGTATATTAACGGAGAATTCTAAACAAAACTTTTACTATTGCAACTTGAGACCTGCAGCGCCCACAAGGGGGCGTTATCGTCCACTTTGGGAAAGACTGGTTTACGCTATAGGTAACAACGTGTGAACATACGAATCATGGGTAATATCCTTAATCACTGGGGTATAGCGCCGCCCAAAAAAAAACTAAGATAAAAAAGAATCGTGTAAACTTAATCTAAAAAATGACATACAACACCAGTCGAATGAAAAAAGAATTATGAAAATCGGACAACTATGGGCGGATTTATCGATAAACGAAAAAAAACCTAACAGACGAATTTGGAACCTTCTCTTTTTGAAGTCCGTTAAAAATTTGATTTGTAACAAATTTCCTAAGCATAAGTAAAACTAGTAAATTGAGATAAACAACGTTGTGTAAGGGTCTTCAATCCAATTATCCTGTACTCACGTTGTTAAAGCTCAAAGGAAATTGATTGGCAGGAAAATGGGAATCAATATTTTGGTCACGTAACATACACTGTCAGTACTAAATATCGTAAAATGTTAAAAATGTAACATTTAACTTACTAATATTATAAATGCGAACGTTTACATGGATGTGATGTGGATGGATGGATGGGTATTTGAAGATAACGGCTGAACGGATCTCGATTAAATTTGGCATACGTATGGAACATAGTCTGAAAGAACACATAGGCTACACTACTTAAGTTTTTTTATATATCAACGTGGACGGAGTCACGGGCGACAGCTAGTTATTAATAAAAAAGACTAACATTTCAGCGCGTCGACTTTCGCGCGGAATTAAAAATTAACTTAGCAACATATAGGGTCTTCCTATGTTCTATATCTATGCCAAAACTCAGCGACACATTCATCAAAATATCATAAATAATATTAATATGATGTTATCAATGTTGTTCATTTAATATTAACGAAAATTAAATAAAATACTAATACTAAAACACTTCATACATCATTTATTAAACCTTAAGAAGTGTTGCTTTTACTTCGAATGTGAAATTACCCCATCTCGAGTTTACATTATCCAAACACGTATAAAACATCTAGTCATCCTGCTCATTTTCTTTAAAAACAACAGAGATGTTTTAGTAATAGAAATACTTGTTTATAACACGCCGGTTTAATTCATAACACCTAAGGTACGATAAAGTTTATGTTCTCTAACGAACGTCACTAACGAGGTAAAACCGCAGCTAACATTGTTTTGGCTTAGAGGAATCTGTGGTCTGAAATAGCAAGATTTGAAATGAAATATTTAAAAAGTTTACCTTGTGTTCCTATTAAAGGTATTCTTCACATTTCAAACAGTTCATTTAAATGCAGATGTACTATGCACAGTGGTCAACTCCGGACTACGCACACGCGGTATTGAAAAGAAAACTTAATTAGTAGCCTATGTGTTGTTTAAGACTATGTTCTATATTTATTCAAGATTCGTTGAACAGTTCTGGAGATACCTACTAAGAGATTTTTAAGAAGAAAATCCGATACTGCCTGTGTATTGGCGCAACACTAGCTTTACTAAAATGTCGACGTTTATGTCCCCTCACAAATGATTTCCGACATTTGACTGGGTAACGAAAGTGCGCGCAAAATTCTAATTAGTAATGTTTAAGAAATATACTTACGTCGCTGGCGCAGGCGACCGGGACCTCCGAAACAAGAGATCGCCAAAGTCACCTGTCCTGCACCTTCTCCTGCCAGTCAAACAAATATCCATTCATCTAAACATACGCATTGTTAATATAAGTCGAATTAACACGGACAAATCTTAATATGATAATAAATGCGATTTTTTGGATAGAAGGTATCTCGGGAACCGCTGAATTTGATGAAATTTGGCACACATATGGAACATGGTCTGGAAAAACAGGCTACTAATGTTTTTTTAATTTCACGCGGACGGAGTCGCGGGCAACAGTTAGTATAAAAAAAAACAAATACCCATCAATGTAAACATCGCTTGTAACTGTAAATCTATCGAGCGAGGGAAGCAAGCGTAAATTACTTTCGACGTGCTCCCTACTAACAAGGATTTATATGTTTTAAGGCTGTATGTTACGGCTGAGAGTCTCTGTTATACTTAAGGCTTAACTGGTTAATTATAACATAATAATGTTTCATAATAAGGCTATAATATTAGTATTCGTCCGTGTTACTAAACGTCGAAGAAAATATTCAATAAACGTTTAAAGAGACAGTGTTTCGGGACGTTATACATAACGCCTTTGTTAAACACTAGCAGTTGCCCGTGGCTTCGTTCACGGGGTTTGAATATTTTATTTATTTATTTATTTATTTAAAAACTGCATAGCATCATTACAGTATACAACCAATTTGACACTATACACACTTTACATAACAGTTTACACGATAACATATTTTATAATAACAGTAAATAACACATAACAATGATAAATAAAAAGAAAAATACATAGATAAACAGTGCAAGAATATATAAACGCGTAACTAAACATCAATATTCAAACGTCTTCCACACATCTGTACGCAGCCTCTGTGAATTTCGACTCGCTGCAACTAAATAAATCTATATCTCTAGATATGATATTGATAACCTATATTGATATATCTAGTAACAAACATAGCCTATGTCACTCGAGGGTAGTGTACCTTCACAACAGTGAAAGAATTCTTCAAATCGGTTCAGTAATTTCGGAGCCAATTCAATGCAAACAGATATTTTCTCTTTATATTAGTATAGTTAAATATATAATAGTTTTTAAAGTATTTAATTCGTTATCTTTAACTATTATATAATAAATCTTATTTATTGTCAAGCTGCAAGAAGTTTTACTTATATTAACAATATTTTCATAATATTTAAAAAAAAACAACTGAACTCCTTATTAATACCCCTTAATTCAATGATAACATCATTCGTCAAAATCGGTTCCGACATTTAGGCTAAAGATCACAATTGAATTGACATACATAAAAGTTACATTACCCACCTAACCTATTTATGAATCTCTCTATGAAACATATATTTGAAAAACATAAATAACGATGGTTTAAAAGGAGATTTTAGTCTACGAAGTCCATTATAAAAATGTCTATTGCCATATATTTCTTTGCAACATTTGTTGTAACCATGTTAACATCTTGCTAATATTATAAACGCAAATGTTTAGATGGATGGATGGATGTTTGTTTGCTGAAAGGATCTCGACGAAATTTGACTTGCATATAGAACATAATCTGGAAGAACACATAGGCTACTTATAAACTTTTTTAATTCGTGCGGACGGATTCGCGGGCGATAGCTAGTTTGAAATAAATGTCGCTTTAATGTTACCACTTTGTACATGATATAGTTGGAAATGTCGTACACATGAAACGTAGATGTTTCTAAACGACTGAGCACAATTGTACAACTTATTTCTTTTTTAAATGTAAAGAAAAATTTAATATGGCACTTACAGTTAAATATTTCCTTAGTGTAGATTTAGTTTCAAAAATGAACTTAAGGTTAGTAATATCAAAATTGCGTAAGTTTAGACGGATGGATGGATGTTTTTTTAGAAGGCATCTCTGGAATGCCATAACGAATCTTGATGAAATTTAGCACAGATATAAAACACAGTCAGGAAGAACACATCAGCTACTTATTTAGTTTTTTTTATTCCGCTGATATTGGAGTCGCACGCCATATCTAGTGTTCATACATCCGAGGCGTTTTATAAGAAAATTCTTATCAAAGAAAATCTATTCCATTTTGTTCGTAACACGTAGACTGTATACAATAATTTTATAGCGTATCATCTTTCCTTTTGTTTTTCATTTCGCAACGACCTATTATCATAGTCATTTTCCTCGTAGAAACAAACAAGAACTGCAAATCAGCATGACTCGGCATTTATGAAACATAACAAGTTTGTTTTGA